CGCAATACAAGTATAAATTTTCCTCCATACGTCGCTTTTTTTCTTCTATAGTAAGAGATTTGATACGTACCGCATCAATTTGCATGTCTTCCACCTCTGAATACGAATTCACACCGCTTGTCGACATAGTTGGAGCATGGCAAATTGTATGTTGTCTTGAGCGTTGGTCTTGGCGACGTTGGAATAGGCGATTATCGCACTTCACAGCTTGACTAATGGCTTCATTGAGCGTTCGTGGATCAGGAAGAGTTAACAGCAAATCCTTCACATCATCTCTTAAACCCCAATAGAATTGACTCATCAACGCTTCTTCATCCCAATTGATGTCGCATACTAATTGCCTGAAATCCGAAGCATAGACTGATGTAGAACGCATCCCTTGTCGTAGCGACCGGATCTTTGTTGTAGCCCATCGAACCTTATCGTGTTCACCAAATGCTTCCGCAAATGCTTCCAAAAAGGTTTCGAAGTTGTTTAATATGGATGATCGTTTCTCAAACAAAGGAGCAAACCATGATAGAGCTTGTCCCGTAAGTAAGGTTCCAACAAGCCCAACACGTGACTCCTCCGTTGGATATCGTTCGGGTTGTAAAACCGTTATCAACCTGATTTGATTGACGAATCCTCGAAACTTGGAACGTGTTCCATCAAACTTATCTGGAAGGCTAACTCGACGCTCCTTATGTTGTAGAACTAGTGGTTCTTGTCGAACCTGAGGTAAAGTTATTTCTTCAAGTGTCGAAATTTGAGGCTGGTGTAGTTTAGATTGTGCTATCCCAGATACTCCATCATTATGAAGCTTTGCCACCACTCCTTCAATCTCTGCAATTCTTTGTGATAACGTAGCGAGGGCATTCATAATAGCATCTAACTTAGACTCCGAACTTTCTGTCATACTAATGTCTTGACCTCCGGCCATTCTAAAAGAAGGACAAAAATGACCTTATAAGAGGCAATATTGGTTTATAGGAGGGTAATCCACAACCTATAAAATGCCTTAAGAATTTCAAGAAGAGGGGTAATCCACTCTCTCCAAGAAGAATAAGACTCCAATATTGTAACAGAAGAAGTATCAGTTTAGAGGAGGGTAATCCGCAACCTCTAAAAAATGCTAGTATACCTTCAAGTAGAGGGGTAATCCACACTCTACTAAGAAAGAACTAGCTCTGATATCTCAAGTTAGTGTAGTCTCGACAAACTGTCACGGACACAAAATACAGACTTGAAATCTAACCAGAAGTTCAAGAAGAAGTCGCAGAACTAGATTAAACAGATGAGTACAAGAACAACACCAGAAAGGTGAGCTAGAACTCTAAGAGATGTGTTGTCGAGACTGAAGAACTCTTTAGCCTCGATCCCTATATATATTCCTACATAGGAAGCTTCTCGAGCTACTTCTATTAACTAGGAAGCTTCTAGAAGGTTCCAGAGGCTTCTTTTCTAGAAGGTTCTAGAAACTTCTCGAGTTACTTCTATTAACTAGAAAGCTTCTAGAAAGTTCCAGGGGATTCCTTTCTAGAAGCTTCTAGAAACTTCTCTTCTAGAAGGTTCCAGAGACTTCCTTTCTAGAAGCTTCTAGAAACTTCTCTAAAAGGTTCCAGAGGCTTCTCTTCTAGAAGGTTCCAGAGGCTTATTTTCTAGAAGGTTCTAGAAACTTCTCTCTAGAAAGTTCTAAGGAATATGTCCCTAACAGTAATACAAACTCACATAAAGGTAGAAAGTAATTGATAAATCTCTATTGAACATATTTTAGTATCTATAGTCATCTATCATAAGAACCTAATTGAGTTTATAATATTGTCTTGTATTTTTTTAGGAAAAGACAACGTTAAGATTTTTGAAGATAAAAAGTATATCAAGGTTAATGAAAATAAGTGTTTCCACTATATACTACATGCATAAAAAGAATAGATTTTAAGAAGATTAATAATGAAGATATAATTAGAAAAATCTCTCATAAAAATATAAATTTTAAAATTATTATATATTAAATATAACTTAATAAATATAAATATTTTATTATAGATGTGAAAATTTTTCTAAATTTATTTAACAAATAGAAATATTGCAATGTAGTTGATGTTCAAAAAAATACATTGAATTATTCTTAAAATGTGCCAAGTATAGACCTCTAGTTTTTATAAAATTTGTCATGCTAAAATTGATATAAACAATAATTTTTTAAATGTGGAAAATCCATGATTTTGTATGAAGCATGTTCCATGATCTATGGTCAATCCTTAGCAAATAAAGATGAGACTATGGATAGGACTTTGCTAAATTGGTAAGTCTATAGAATTAGAGTTATGAATTCTAGTGGCATTTTAAAGATTGTTCTGCAATCTACACATGGGATGAGATCTAGCCATGTTATTACCAATATATAAATTATGCAAATCAATAATAGATTGATCTCAAACTTGAGACATTTATATATATATATGATTTAATAGAATTGTGTCTCTTTAGTAAAATATCTAAATATTATACAAAAATTATAAAAAATATATATGTCTTTATATATGTGTGTGTATATATATATATATATATATATATATATATATTCAAAATCTAGAGTTTTTGAGATCTAAAGTTTTTATATACATCAAAGCAATAATTATGTAATTATAACTTACTTTGATTGCATCTTGTTAAAGTTTGTTGCTTCTAGATTTAAGGAGGTGCAGCTATATTAACGAGATTCAAGGAAATGTCAAATTCAATGAGATGTAGCTATTACCACAGTTTTTGCATCTTAATTGTGTGGCTTCCTATTTGAAGTTTGGCTTTAATTTAACCAATTTTGTTCTACAAGCTATGTAGTCTAATTTTAAAAGAGTTGCTTATTACTTAAAAAATTCTAATATATATTCGTGAATTATTTTAGTCATCTATTGAGTATTATACATCATTATGCTAATTTAATAGAATTTATTTTGAAATAGTTATCAAAATCATTAATGTAAATAAGTAATGCATAATTGTTTTTTATAAAGATAATTTCTTATTTTATTTTAATAGTATTGGTCAATGCAATGGAATTTGATTGATAAGAATAAATAATAGATTTAATATATATATATATATATATATATATATATATATATGGATAGATAAACAATAAAATAAAACAAAAAGTCTTTAAGAATTTCATATTTACTAAGATATTTTTGTATTTGTACTTTTAAGCAGATTATTAAATTATTGATAAGTAATAACATAAATTTAAATTATTATATTGAATTTTATTTTGTTTTTAGAAATGACATAATATTTTATAATAAAATATTTGATATCCAAAATTACTATGTAATACTTAGTAGGAAAAAAAATTTAATTTAAAATAAGATGTTGTAAACCAACAAATGATTAAATTAACATCAAATTCTAAAATAAATAAAAAATTATAATCTATTAAGTGAAAAAAAGTACTATTAGAAACAAATATAAAATTTAAGAAGCAAAAACAGAATATCCAATTAAATCAATAATAATAATAATTAACAATGGTTTTCTGAAAAGACGCTTAGAAAGAAGGATTATATAGAAAAAGTAAGAAAACAACAAAAACTGAAGAGTACATAAACAAAAGCAAAGATTACAACAACAATAAGAATTAATGTTTCTATAGAACATCAATCTACAAACATCAATATAAGAACTGCATAATTATCCTATCAAATTGGTTCTCATGTTGGTTTGAAGTGACCTTAAAATACTATAAGATGGCAAGTTGAACTTAAGTGTTTTAAAATTGATTGAATAAGGTTGACTTTTTAAATTCTAGATGTAAATTCTTAACCATCTGAACAAAAAAATATGCTAATTGTTTATATTATTATTAAAAAATTAAAACTGTAAAAAAAAATCTTATATATCCATCTAATTTGTTACTTCTTTTTAACCTACTTTACTTTTATTTTAGAGGATTTCCATCTATATTTTATTTATTTAACATTTTAACTTTCACATTTTTTTACATGTATATATATATATATATATATATATATATTATTTTGGCTACTCCAACTTTGGTCTTTTTTAAATAAATTTGGTTTCTCATTGATAATCTTTATTTATTTATTTATTTATTTATTTTTTCAAATTTATCTTTTCCAATCTATATTTGTTTGAATTTTTCAAATTTTCTTTAAACTTAATTTGCTTTAACAGTCCTTGCCTATGGTTTTAGTAGCATGATGCAACAGCAATATTGTGAATAAGATGCATAAAAATTAAATTGGTAGTTGTTTTTTGCTTGCTTGTTAGTTAGTTTGTTTGTTTGTTTGTTTTTCTTTTTCTTTTATTAAAAATCTAAATTTCTGTTTTATCTACAAAAACTTCTAAGCATTTTTCTTTCTTTCTTTATCTATAACCAATTTTTAAATTTTCTTTTGCCAACACAAACATTTGGTTCCAATTTGTTACAATATTTATTCTATGGTAACATGGTAATATGTTGTTTGTACAACCTTGTTCTCTTAAGACATCATTTGGAACATTTTGCAACCAGTTCTAATTCATATCAATATTCAATAATAGAATATATTTCATATTCTCATAAAAAGTAACATATTTGATTTTTCTTGCAGTCTTCTCCATCCTCATTAAAATTTCCACCTTTGTAATTAGAATGATGTGAACAAACATTACATCCAATTACTAAAAATGTTGAGAATTGGCTATCTTTTTTTACATGGACAATGTTCTTCTTTGTTGACAATTTTTAAAAACTAGCCATTGAGAACTATCAAAACAGTATCAAACACTAAATCAAAACACATGACCACTGCCATAAAGTAGATCATGGCCCCACAAGCAATATAAAGAGGGTTTGGCTATAGCATCACTTTGCCAAACACCTACTTTTGCAACAATCAATCTTCTAAAGCAATAGGACAAAATCCTATACGCCAGGATCACACCAAGCGCAGTCATACGAAGCTTCATTTCTGACTAGAGAAGCTCAATGCCAACAAACTTCCTAAGGAAAAAAAAGAAATCCAATAAAGTCGTATCACTGGGTTAGTTCAATTAATTCCGTAATATACAGTGTACAGACTTTGCCTAGAGTAGTTTACATCCTTGTACACAGCAACAGTTCTGCAAGCAAACTTGCAGTGCACTACTCTCATATTCCTGCATACTCTGGCGATGGAGGACCATTCCTAATCTCACAAAAACAATAGCTGGGAGGCGTTTTCTCACGCATGATTCCTCAGCTCAGGAGGACAAACAACCCAGACAAAGGTGATGATTCGGCCGACTGTAGACGAAGCACACAGTTGCAAGGCGGTGAGCTGCTCAGGTGTAGTCGGAGACAGTCAGTTCTAAGGTGTACGTGCTCTCCCCCTGGATTTGTTTCTTTTTCATTTTTTCGAGCCAACTACGATACACCCGTCGCTCTGCCTCGTGGATGTGTGGGAACTTGGCCTCTTCTCGAAGTTCGATGCTGCTGCGCCCGAAGTACAAAGAAAATTCGTAGACCGGCACGTTGTCGTGTGTGGGGTTCTTGGGTAAGTCGACGGTGAACTCTCCCTCGCTAACAACGCCGGGGTCATCTGTGTACCTGGGTTCCTCGTCACCTGAACTGTGCAGATCGAACTTGATGTGTGATTGGCCGCTTTTGTATGGTGCGTATTCCTTCTTTACACAGTTGTTGATCTCCATCCGAGTCCCTTTCTTCGCGAAAATGTCGAATCTCTTGCGACACCACTGCGACCCGTCAATGGCGACTTTCAGTAAGTGCCTAGGGTCAACACCTGGCTCTAATCGCTTGGTTAGACTGGTGCCGTAAGTTCTCTTAAGAATTCGAGCCACAACGACCCCGGGATTGAGTGCCAGGGCAACGGCACCTTTAACGATGGCGCTTCCAGGGTGAGGAGGACTGAGGATATGCGTCTCTGGACGAGAAAAACGCGCTCGGATTTGTCGCATTAGATACTGAGAGCCTGCGAATCCACCAACCACGAATATCGCCTTGATGTTGGTCACTTTCTCTAGCTGGGCAGCAATCAGTTTGATAATCTCATCCACCACTGGATCGAAAATGGACATCATATCCTGCTGTGTGAGTTTAATTTCGCTATATGACTTTCGCGGTGGATACCCTCGTCTCCTCTCGTAATCCTCCCACTTTTCAGCCAAGTTACGGTGCAGTGAAATTTCTGTATTCGTAGTCGGCCTCATCTCATGGCCGAACCCACGCTTGATTTCTTCCCAATCCTTGAGAAAGCGCGACCTGCAGTTTTGGGCATCCAACCGCAGAAATTCTTCCGGGCATCCTATTCGTTTGGACACGAACCGCAAGAAATAATCGTCAACAATTGTCCCACCGCAAAGACCACCAGAGCTTTCTGTGAGCTCCTCAACTTTGTAATCCCTCCCGATGCCTTTCAACTTCTGCACCACGATGTCGACTGTCCCACCCCCGATGTCGGCCACCAGAATATTATCACATCTGTCTAAGCACACTTTGGGGTATTGCTTTGGCATAAGTTGGTGGCAGTGGAAGGAAGCTGCTTCTGGTTCCAAGACAACTTTCACCGACTCTATTCCGCTATCGCAAGATACAAGCCCCGTGTCCATCATGCACACCTTCATCTGCTGCTTCGCCGCATCGTCCCAAATTGAAGGCACTGTCACGCACCATTGCACTGAGTCTTGGCTGAACCTCACCTCTCCATCATGGTTCCTGAGTACGGATAAGGCATACTCGCCGATGTGCTTCAAATATTGTGTGATGATTTTGCTCACTGTAAGTGACGGCGGTATGGCACTCGCCAGGGAAGAAACGTCCAGATCTTTCTTCAGAAGCAGCTTGAACTTTGACAGGTAAAATCCTCGGGTGGAACTATCCCCGCGATTCGCCATATAATCGGATCGAGCTGGGTGACCCCAAGACGTACACTGCAATTCCCCAGTCGCCGTCTTTGTGTAGAAAAGGCCCGTCAATGTCTTGCAATATTCGTTCCCACCGCTCATGCAGGGCCAGTCGTGATGGACATAGATGTGCTCAGGATCTGAAACCTTGGCGTAGGCAAACCCTGAGAATGTGGTTCCGAAATCTAACCCTATCACCCAACCATTTTGAGGCGTAGATCTGACCTCGTCAGGAATGCGAACGGCACCCGACACTTCCTCCACGCTAGTGCCTGGTACAGCACTAGGAAGATTCCTGCTGATTCGGAGCGGACCAGGGTTTGCAGCTTCGACAATTACTCGATCGTTATAGCCTCTCGATGACGACGGTCCTATTTTTCCGACTCCGTTTGATTCATTACCCCGTACCCGTTCCACAGGGCATTTTTCTCTTTTCAGCGATGAGCCCCAACTCAAGAAAGCCATACGGAGATTTGAGGAGACCAGCTAGAAAAAAACACACAATTAAAGAGTGCTGCAGTCTTCGATCTTGTTCGAAGGAACTACAATACTGCTCGAACGTTTGTAGCCATTAACCGAAGAAACTCCCTCGTCACTGACTTTAGAAGACATAGGTCCTACAGCAGAGCACGGCAGCTGAGGAACAAAGACCAGACCTACTACCATAAATATTCCACAACGCTGCCTTTGCTAGGAACATCACATCGCCGGCGCGTTACAAGGGGTACCACATGTATCAAGTGGGTCTCGAATTCCCCGACTTCGCCGAGGAATTTGGCTGTGTGGGCAGTGCATTCCCGACCCAAGAATGGCCAAGTTCAATCAAAATGAGGCTCCCCAGCCTGCTCTGAACGACCCGCTTGTTTCCTCTTTACTGGACATTCACACCTTCTGGTACATGTGCAAATTTGCAAAACATAAATGCTGACCACGATATCAAACAAGAGACCCTCCACCGAGACTCCAATCGCTTGTAAGTTGCAATCTGCTTACTGAAAAAACTCTATCTCGCAACTACACCTAAATATCTGAAATTTGTTTTTCGCTTGGGAGCAAGACATAACGGATCTGCGACATATAGATGAAGAGAGGCTCCATTACGTAGGGTAGAGCTTCAGCAATCGATCATTCACACTTAGGTCCCTGAGTTGCGGATAAGTTGTAGGAGGAAATGACAGGACACTCTCGGTGAATATTCCATTAAAATCGGTACGAATGCGATCAAGAGGGACGGATCCCGAGAAATCTGGAATGCTGGTTAATAGTGACCACCCGATTCAGGGGAAGCAATCCCTCATATCATTTTGCTGTGCGAACACTGAGACAATGCCAGATGAGACCACTCTATGAATGTTTGTTCTGCAGACATTGAATAATGCATCGGATGCCAGAATCCCAACGACAAGGAAGAATGTGCACGGCTAACCAGAGTGCAGACTGGTTTGGTTGCAGACAAGTGCATTCTAACCCTCGTGTCGCAGACCAGCCAGTTGATACCATCGTTCCGTTTCCCCCCGAAAAGAGGGCATGATTGCCGAGTCAGTCCATCGGGTGACAACGCTGTCAGAAGTGATGGATTCGACTGGGTGCGATCAACGCGGCGATACGAATCGCACAGCACTTGGTCGGAAAAATACACGAAGCTAGGCTGTAAGCACATTACCGCAAATACACCATCACCCGCAGTGCGGTGATCTGGATTCGACGAAAACGATGAGTAAACTGCGTCTGCTTTCTGCAGAACCATATGAGCAATAGAAAACGACAGACTAGGCGACTTTGTCCGCGATGGAATGGGAAATGTGTGGGTACGGGGCCGATGGCGGCGTTTACGGTAGATAACATTTACCGCCAGTGACCGTTTTTTCTGTGGATGAGCCTCTGTAGCGGAAAGCATCGTAATGCCGACAGTATCTTGTCCTTAAAGAATCCATCTTGTGATGAGCACTGGAGGTTTTATCGATTTTGAGAAAGCATGCGCAGAAGAATCTTATTATTGTTATTAATATTGTTAAGTGGTTAAAATATATCATTCAATGGTAGATTGTTTTTATAATATACTTTTGATTCTCAATATGTTTGTGATTGAATGATAAATTATTACTTAAACATGACATCATATATAGTATTTGTAGAGAACACACACGTATAATTAGAATAAAATTGGATATTTTGTACGTTTCTGAACTTAGAAAATAAATATAGACAATTCATAACATTGTTGTAACTTTTTATAGACAATGGTATATACTCATAACTGCATTAAATTTTGGTGCTAGTAAAAATCGGTCTAGGATTTTGAAATAAATAAATAGATAATTTCAGTTCTTACATTAGCATTTTAGAGGTCCATATAGATTAACTTTAATTCAAATTATTATAACTTACAAGATTTCATATATTATTTACAATGATTGGACAACTTAGTATGGTTTAAAATTTTAATACAAGAAGAGAGTTGCTTTCAACAATATTACATATATTATAGAAATTGGTGTTTGTCTATGCAGGAATCCATCCAAAGGGCATTGCATCCTTTCATGCATTATCCAATATTGTTAGCCAATTTTTGTTTCATAATAGTACCTCAATAATTAAAGCTAAAAAAGTGGAGAGAAACTCAACACCCAAGCTTGATACCAAGAGTTACATCCCATGGAATTTAGTTGTATTATATATGTTTCACTTTGCAAAAGACACTGAACATCTTTTTTGTTTCAATATTGTTATTGTGATACTGTATTTAAAATTAAATTAAATTAAATTAAAAAATCTAGAATAATTAATATCTACCTGCTCCACAAGCATTTAGAACTCCATTGCTTGGAAATTAACTTTTTCTACCGGTGGAAACTAGGCTTCTTGTAATCCTTCAGTTGAAGATGGACATGGCCATTGCATCAGAGTCTTTTATTGTTGTCAACTTGTTCATAATTTTCATCACAATTCAAGTGCTTTTTCTTCAAACATCTTTAGTTCGAGTGCTTGTTCAAATTACCAAAGAGTGTGTCCATATAGAGATACATCAAAGTTTTTAAGTTTTTTTTTTTTTTTTTTTTTTTTTAACCTGCCTCTTGTGATAAGCTGCTTTTTGAAGAGAGATCAATTCTCACATTTGCTTTGTATCAGCTTCCATGAGAAAATTATTTTCCACTCTTTGGATCTTCTTTAGTTGTACTTAGAATTCTACTTTGAAAGCTCCAATTCCAAGCAAAGATCTCAAATTGTGAATCCACATGGAACCATGTATCTTTCTATGCAGTAGGAAATGTCCAATCCAGTATAAAAAAAAATTAATTCCCCTCCCCCCCATGAAAACTCTGCTGCATTCTGCCGCCATTTCTAACAGTAGTGAAAGATTATTCCATATTATCAAATATTATAACTTGCTATAACTTGACAAAACTTTGAAATAAAAATTAGAGCTTTAAAAAACTTATCCAGACAAATAAGTATATTTAATTTTGCAACTAAACAGATTACTGTGGAACAATTGTTTTAGTTTTCAATTAAACATTTTGTTAATTATACAATGTTCTATTCATATTAAAATTTAATACAACTATATAGCCCAATGCTTTAAAAACTAATATACATTATTTTTCTTTTAAATATAACAATACTGATGGAATACTACTAAATATTATAATGCTAATCCATGTGTAGGTTAATGTCAAATTTTAATTTATTTACCCTAAAAGAAAAATTTCAGGATTTTTTTCCTACTCTTGCATTCTCTCTATCCCCGCTCATATTGAACTTCAAATATTTAAAAATATTTAAAAATAAAATAAAATAAATCAACACAACCGCTCATATAAAAATTTATTTTCAAATTTGGGAGTGAATAAATTAGGGATGCCAACGAACGTGTCCATTCGTCAACATCAACAACCACACCATTCAAAGCCAACAACCTCGTAATCTCCGCCCACTCCTCACTCTCACACACATGTACAAAAACAATAGCTCACATTCTTAAAGGCAACACTCGATAATTCTCCGATGGGTGCCCACAACCCGCAGGACCGAGCTCAAAAGCAGAAAGCAGCAGGCCAGAGTTGCACAATAACATCGATTGTAGCACAAAAAGAAACATCGATGGTGCTTGAGGTCCACACAGTCCACTACGAGAACGAAGAAAAAAGTTTGAGACAGATCTGGAACAAGTGGGTCTGCACCCATGGATCCATGGGTTCGATGCAGCTGCAACTGATCAGATCGAACTCTGAGAGAGGTTTATGTGAATGGTGTTCGGAGTCAGTAAACTAGAAACTCTGCAACGGGTCTCTATGTACAGTTTCTCAGTGTCGAAGGTGATTAGTGTCTACTTGACCGGGGTCGGGAGTCATGGTTTTGTGAAGCGATCATACACCGCCCGGATCATGTCGGAGAAGGAGATGACGCCGCGGAGGAGGCCTTGGTTGTCGACCACCCACACTCGGTGCACATGGTTGGCGAGGGCCTGCGACATGACGTCGGCGAGCGGGGTCGCAGCGTGGCATGTCACGGGAGTGGGCTGGAATTCACTGCATTCACTTTGGGTGGCGTTGACGGCGGCTCCCATCCCGAACCTCTGCGCCACGATCGCTTTGCTGTAGAAACTCAGGATTGGCAGAGATGACCATGTCCGCAGCATCTCAGAGTTGTATCCCAGCAAATCGGTCGCAGAGAATGTTCCCACAAGTTTCCTGCCATTGCCCTGTCACCAAACAAGCTTCGTAACTATTAGTAGACCAAACAAGCCATGGAAACGTTTCCCTCCAATTGGCAGAAAAAGCAAAAAGTAGCGTGATCAATGAATTTATTTTCTGAACTGGGTAACTTCCCTGTGGCGGTGGAAGAAAGAGAGGCTGTGCAGCAAGAAAGAAGCGGTTTCATTCCGATTGAGGTAGCAGAAAAAATAACCAGAGGTCTTAAGTAAAGAGCTCGAAAAACCAAGAGATTGAATCAGCGTAAAAGGAAATAAAAGTCTTTTCATGCGATGGTCGTGAAGCAGGGGTGAACCCTAGATTCCCATTACGAAATTCAGGAGGTTGAGAGAAGACACTGACCATGACGAGAGCCAGTTCGGTATCGTAGTCTCCCATTGGCTCCACAATCGCCACGGCGTGCAGCGAGGTATTCCGCATGCATTTGACAACATCCATCACCTTCATGTGGCTGGGTGCCGCATACACTGTGGACTGCACAGCGCCCAATTCCATCACACTTGTGGTTGCCGTAAAACCCAGCTCCTTGGAATGCGTACACAGGAACTCCACCATATCCGTTTGGGTGAAAAGATGATAGCCTGGTGAGGCCTCCTGAAGCTCCACTCCTACGGAGTGCTCCAGTTTGCTTTCGACGGGGATCAAGGCTCGGTGTATACCTTTGCTCATTGGCTCCATGGCATCAAACACTCTGCAATTCAAGTAGGGTTTAACAAGGGGGAGATGCACGTTCAGATGCGAGGCAGTCATGGGACCGGCGAGCATTGAAGGTACGCGCATAAATATCTCCTGCTGTCCAAACGATGCCGTTACAGTGCAAGATCAAGACAGGAATAGTGAACAACCCTATCCGTTTCAAACATTTTTAGAATGTATGCAACGATTCCAGGCGTGTAGAATCTTACGACGTCTGAGGGCTGATACTCCACAGGCTGAGCCCTTCCATGGAGTGGCCGATGATGGAACTCACGACGGATCTCAATCGGGAATCAACGTCTGCTTCACTCTCTGCCTCCGCGATATGAATCAGAATATCCAGCACACTTACCATCCCAATGTACTGCTTCCGCACAACTCCAGTGGCCTTATCAGACTCCAGAATCATACTGCCCCCTGCTCCAATCCACTGCCCTGGCGGGGCCGCAACGGGCACCGCCAAGATATTCTTCGCAAGCAGAGTATTGAGCGCGTCATTAACTGTAGCCGTGTAAGGTATTTCCACCAGACGATTATTATGCTCCACGATCTGCTGCACGGTCGTGCCGCGGAGCATCTCCTCTGCCTCAATCCCTACCGCCATTCTTCACCAATACCTCGACCTCCTTCCCTCTTCAATTCCCACACGCCTATTCTGCCCCGCAAGATACCCCATCACATCAATGACGACGAAAAGCTTCATTACAAAACCTCGACACCGAATCCAGACACAGAAACCTCGCCCCTCTGTAAACCTTTCAAGCCCTAACAGCAACAAAATAAGCCAAAAAAGATCGCCGACCACGATCCTATTAACCCCCTTTCACCTTCGGTTTCGTGTCTCACCTGCTAATGAGACAAACTATTGCTGATGCAAGCTTTTTGAGCCCAAATTCGCCGCTCCGAACTCCAGTTTCGTATCTCCAAAAGCAGTCGATTGTGGGTCTTCGACACAAACAAACAAACAAACAAAAAGCTGTATGCAATGGACCGAATGCATATCGAGCCTAGAAACGACGACGAGGACGACGACGGCGATTTTTCGCGGCGATGGGTCTTGACCTCACATGCTTCGAACTTCGACCCAGTGGCTGCCAAGTGGAGGCCGCCACTTCCAACTTCGACCAAGTGGCAGCCCATCGTTGATATTTTAGTGCACACGTGGCGTTCGCAGTTCGGGAAATTCCTCAACTTTTCATCCTCCGTCCATGTCGCTACTTTATCATTCGTTCACTTTTCTCATCCATCTGTCGCCCCCTGACACTGTTATAACCAGGTTTAGGGTTTAGGGTTTTTGTATCTATTTATTTGTTAAAGATTAAATATTTCTTTCATGGGATAAAACTTGGCTTGCTACAATGTAGACCTTTTTGGGTATGATTGATTGAATTACACTCTTAAAAAGGTATATGGAGTATGTAATATGATAAGTTCAAGCTATTGCAAACCATTAAAAGTAAGAGATGTATTGTAGAGAAAAATATTACATGACCTACTTGATATAAAATGTAAAATGGGATTTTAAATTGTAGAAATTATTAAGAATAAATTTGATTTGAAATGTTTGTAAATTTCAACAGAGTTGTGAGGATTCTTTCTAACTCAATGAATAAGTGTGAAATAAAAATGCTTGTAGTTTTGTTGAAACAATTTATATAATCAAAGGTGATATTTAAAAAACAATTAATTGGCCTTTGACTTGCCCAATTGAGACAATGAAAATATCGTAAAGAGAAATAACTAACAAGTTGTATTAATGCCTTATAATAACATCATAAACTTAACATATACATATCATAAAAAAATGATGTTAATTATAGAAACAAAACAACAGATATCATATTGTATTGATAATCCATATTCAACTTGTGGTACAATATGAACATTTGTATCTTTCTATCTTACAGGTAACTAACAATATGTATGTTTTCAATTGATTTACATACTTTACAAATGCAACTATTGATAGAACATTTACTTAGCCTACTTGGGTCAATGTAATAGTCATGAACAATAGCATTTTATAAGTTGGATTAACTTTTACATAACAGATGTCAAGAACATTGATTGAAATCTATTTATCTAATTTCATTCTAATGTTCGACTTTACTAATATGCAAACTAAAATATAAATTCAGCAATGAAGTTAATTTTTTTTTAGCTGATTTTAAGAGTATCATTATATTGGAAATGTAAAATTATAATTGGATACCAATGTTGGGTGCCCTTGAAATTGGTTTGTGAGAAACATGTAAAGAAACTTTTGGATGTATAATAACATACAATATAATAATGATTTACAATAGAATCAATGTAATTGAGAAATATAAATATTTGTTTAATAAAAATGATAAAAATAGTAATAGTAATAATAATAATAATAATAATAAATCAATTATTATAAATTTTTATAAGAATTATAATTATTATAAAGTTTCATAATAAAAAATAAAAATACATATATCTTATTAATTTAATATGTATATTTTAAAATTTATCTAATAATAATAATAATAATAATAATAAATATTATAAATATAAAATTTATTAATATTTTAAGATATATACATATAAATATTTAATTATCATTTAAATATTTTATTTATAGTGATTAATTTATAATTTATAATAGTAATTGATTTTTTGAAATAATATAAATTAAATTATGAATATTGAAGATATGAATCTAGACAAAACCTAAAACATAATTTTCACGAACATACTCATAATTACATATACAAATAGGTAGAAGTAAGTAAAAGTTGGTAAAAGTAAGTTAATTCTATAGTATTTGATATGGAAGCTTCCTAGAAGCTTAATAGATGCTGCTTTGACTTCATAGGTGTCTTTAATTGATTTTTTGGATTAGAAACGTGGTCAACAAGTTGGCCATGTGCTATACATGTTGTTAGCTTGAAGACCAAGCTAACTATGTGGCCGACACGTAGAAAAACTTGCCTTGTAAGTCAAGGCATGTATCCTACAAAGTCAACACATATTGGAGGTCCTATAGAACATCGCCACATAGCCCCTAGTTAGATAGTATATATAGAGACAAGAGTGAAGGCTTCTTCACTCTTGTCAACTCCTTTCTTGCTTCTAGTCTAGTTTCAAGGGTCTCTAGTTTTCTTGTCTTTTGGCAATAGCCATTTTAGTTTCTCTTTCAATATACATACTTGTATATTTATATTTTGTTACCTTTCTTTGAGTGAAGGCTCACTTGTCTTAATTGCTTTTTCATCGAGTTCTTGTCCTTGATGATAATATATTTATGTATCACTAAACAAAGAGATAATGAAAGATAATAAATTTATAAGATAGCAAAGAATTAGAATGATCATTGCCAAATACAAAGAGACTAGTACATTTTGAACAAAGACAAAAATACAAAAATAGTATTGATAAGATTGAAAATGGCCTCAATCTTGTTTCTATTATATTAGCTACAAAGAATATCTAGTAAAAGATTTATAAAGACTCTAAGACTTATGGTTCAAACATCAAGTTGTAGATTGCTCCTAATACAACTTCTTAAAAGTATGAAACTTATAAGACAAGTTTTAATAACCACATTGTATATCTATAAAAATATGTGTATCTAATCTTTGTTTAAGAAATTTCTTTGAAGCTTTTTAAGAAAAAATAATATCTTCAATATATATATATATATATATATATATATATATATATATATATATATATATATATATATATATATTTCATATATTTATTTATTTTTACTAAAGTAATATGAACATCTATTATATTAATCCTTGTTATTGGTAATAAATCCCATAAAAAATAATCAATTTGCTTCATGAATAAATGAAGTCTAATATTAGTCAAATGATAGTAAAAATAAATTCTAATTTATATTCCACAAAAAAATAGTTGATAGAATCTTATAACCATCAATAACATCACATACTGATTTAAGAAGACAATCTTATTATATGGTGATTGTTGAGGCCTTCATAACTACTATCAAATAACACATTTTGTATTTCATTATACATGGTATCTACTTCTAGTAGTATGACTAGGCATGAAGAGCCTCTCCCAAGTTTGTAATACCAAACATGCTGTATTTTTCTATCTATTTGAAAAAAAATACATCTATCTTGAAGATCTTCATTATAATTTTAACATCATTTAAGTCAAAATAACTTAACTTATTTATCTAGCAATTGTATAAATTATAATCTTTGAAATAAATTTGCCCTCTTATGGTTTATTAAATTACAAAGAAATTCTATAAATTGATCTTTAAACTTATTTTTTTTTATTTATATCAATTTTTTTTTTTCAATATTTGGTTTTTAGTTTTAATAGATGTCATTAATAGAAAAACAATAAGCTCTATAGATTTCCAAGTTTTAGAGATGGTTCTTATGTGCATTTGTTAATATCATATCTATACCAATATATAAGATATTTATATTTATTTTAGAACATCTTTAAATGCAAGACTTGTTTTATTTCAAATTCTTAGTTGCTACTAATTTTGAAAGTAGGTAGTAATAATTACTTTCTTCATGGTATATTAATTGTAATATAAGATTCAATAAGAGATGTATGGAATATAAGATTTATCTTCATCAATTAAAATAATTAAAATTGATATGAAAATAAATTAATATAATTTTAAATAATAAATAAGTTAGGTCTTTAATATTCTAAGTTCATCCAAGATCAATTAGTCTCAATATTATAAGATAATAATCATATCTTATTACCAACTCTGAATAAAAGTTAGTTTTTTCTAAAAATGTGGACATTTATTTTTAAATATTTTTAAACCTCTTTTAGTTGCATCTTTATTGTTGTATTGTCAAGGACATGAATTAAAAGATGATGCATAAACTAATGAATTTCATGTCAAAGAAAGAGTAATAGAATAGAAATAAAGAAGTATATTGTTGTAATACGTGAAGTCTTGCTTGAGAATGCTTTGGACACTTGGATGTGGAAGGTAGAATAGAAATTGCAACAACAAAATCCTAATTCTAATAGAACAATAACAAAGCTAAACAAGCTTTAATCAAATTCAGAGAAACCTCAAAGGAATTCTAAAGAAATAATAAGAAATCTTAAAGAAATATTAGAATGATTACAAACATATTTCAAATACATCTCAATTCAATCTTAATTTAATCCTACTTGAAATCTTATTCAAATTCATTCAAACTTTAGGCCAAAAACTAACTAAATCTTAAATCCTAAACAAACTCAAATAAAATCCTAAATTCTAAATCAAATCTTGATCAAACTCTAACCAAATCTTAAATCCTAAATCAAACCTTAAATCCTAAATCAAATCCTAAATCCTAAATCAAATCCTAATCCTAAATCAAATCCTAACCAAATCTTAAATCCTAAATCAAATCCTAATCTTAAATCAAACCCTAATCAAATCTTAACCAAATTCTAATCCTAAATCAAATCCTAACCAAATCCTAACCAAATCCTAACCTTAATCCTAATTTCTAAACCAAATCCTAACCAAAACCTAATCCTAAATCAAACCCTAACCAAATCCTAATTCTAAATCAAATCCTAACCAAACCTTGGTAATTTCTACAAAACATTTAAACCTCAATAACTAATAAATGAATCGTTGATCTTAACTCAAAGTTTGCTCACTTTTTAAAAAATAAGTTGAAAACAAGCACAAATTTTTTGAAAAGGGTCGGACTTACCAAATAGACGATAACCTCAAAAATGTACTCGTGTATTGGCCGGCCTCCTTCTCCAACCTTGATGCCAATCTCTTAGAGCTAATATCTCTTCTTTTCACCATTCAATTGATCTCAAAATTTTTATAAATATAGAAAAATAAGTCTAATATCCTTTTATATAAATTTCACTCCAATCCAACTAGTAGATTGCAAGAAATCTTAAAAACCCTCACTAGACCTAAAATTCTATTTTTTGAGACCTTGACTCACTTAAACCTCAATAACCCTCAATTCAATCGTTAGATCAAGCTAAGATTTACAATACATATTAAACACAACTATGACCATT